ACCCAGCCTGGTGCTGGATGAAGGCGGATGCTGACCAGTGCAGCCCCTCTGCATCTCTTCCCCTGACGAGAGCTCCATGAGCCTTCACCAGGGAGCACCATCCCCCTCCATCCCTGAAGAGAAAGGTTTGCTTGGGTTGTCCTGGAGGGAGGGCCGTGTCTGCACTGAGTGATAAAGGCTACTGATAAGGATTATTATATTTTTAGACTCCTCAGAAAAATTGGGACAGGAGACATCTGTGACAGGCTCCCTGGACTTCTTGGTTTGGACGATAAGACCCAGAGACATCTTGGAAAAATGGAGGCTTTATGCTGAGACAAGGGGACAATCCTATCCATGGGACACGTCCAGAAGATGCTCCCCGCCCCCATTAGAAACCAACAGCTTCCTCCTCAGCCCGCTCCCGCTGACGTAGAGCTCCTTGGGAAAGCAGGATGCTGCTTTTAAAAAATACTTCTTGACCTTGAACTTTTCAATGTGTTTCTTAATTTTCCCCTTTTATCACTGTCCGGCTAACATTATGCTATGTCATTTCTTAAATTCCGGTATTTAATATAAAATATTGAATGAAAACATATTTTACAAACAGGCTTTGCAACTGGATATGGGGGGAGGGAACATTTTGCCAATCGTGTCTGTCCTTTCTCTGGGCACTTGACAAACATTGCCAGTATCCAAACAAGCAAGTGGGCGAGAAGCCGTCGCCGTTGCTTTCTCTCAGCTCTCTTGCTCCTCTGGTTCACGGGGCTAATGTGCCCTGAAAATACAGTACAGTGCAGAGGTTAAGAGTGTGGGCTTTGAGTCAGAGTTGGGTCAGAATCTCAGCTCTGTCATACCTGAGCCATATGACCCTGTGTAAGGTACTTCCTAGAGCCTCTGTTCCTTCATCTGTAAAATGGGAATGTTCTCGGTAAGAGAATGCACATAAAATGGCACTGGCCTGTGCATTAATCTTCAATAAATGGTGCCGATTATTATCATTTGCATGTTAGCACTTGAGCATCTATTTGGGAATGCCTTGGGTGTGTGTTAACAGTGCTGGTACGGGTTCACACGGGGGTCAAGCCCTGTCAGACAGAAGCCCCCTCTTCCTGTCAGACCTCCCTGACATCCGCACTCCATTCTTCATCTGTCTCATGTTTCTTCCCAGAGTTCTTTATACCCCTCCTTCCTTCTTTTCCTGGAGTCCAACTGCCTCCTCAGTGGCCCTCAGAATCCATGTCGTGTCAGGCAATCCTTCTCGCTCAGTGTCAACATCACCAGTGCTCCTGGGATGCTGAGGGGGAGACGCCACTCGTTTCGACCAGCCCACCCTCTACATTTATCTCAGCCCCATCCCCCTGGGCCATCCTTCAATCCTCCCCTGCTCCATAAAAATATCTCATTATCTCTTAAACTCGCATTTGCTAATTTGGTCTGCCTTAGCTGCTTATATCTGAGATCTTTCTGTCTGAGGCTTCCACTCATAGCTGGCTGATTTTCAGTCTGTGCTAAAAGGCACTGACTTCCCAGAGTCTTGGTCCTCACGAGCATATCCTCTGAAGCCCAACCTTATTCAGGAGGTTGTAACTGCGTATGGCCGTCTGCTGGCTGGTCTGGTGGGTTTCCAGTCCTCTCAGAGGTGACCCTTCCTTTATTTCCTTTTCAAGACCAATCTGAAAACTAACAGAATCACGATTTTTCTTGAAAATCGTAGAGAAAAGCCCAGAGCCCTCCACTGAAGCAGCTACTTTTCCTTCAGTGCAAGAAATCAAACTGGGTGTGGTCATCATCATCCTGATCATTTAAATGTATTTATTAAGTTTGCACAGATTTCATCCACTTGATAAATAAAATGGTCACTGAAAGCAGAGACCTGACCGAAAAGGGCTTCATAAACCTTCATATTTTCTTGGGGACTTTTTTTCCTTACTGTGGTTCTTATGCATTTACCTGTGAGCCACCCTGTCTGCTGCGAGGCTTTGAAGAAAAATGCCCCCAGTTGCGAACCACTGTTCTACACATATACACCTCTCCCTGACACACCCGTTAGCCCAAGACCAGAGGTGCAAACACCTGCAGGAAGGACGTGCCTCTAGGAGCCATCGCCTTTGCCCTTGGCTACCTAAGAGATCTAAGCAAGTGGCTCCCAAAAGGAACAAGATGTGAGGAATTCCTGCCTGCCGGCCGGGCTGCTAACTCACAAGGACTAAATCCTTCTCACATCTGTAAGATTTCAGTTCGTGGGTGTCAGCGAGGTAGCCTATTGTTGAGATGTGGACAGAGGGAGGTACAAAGACTGGATACACAGGAGGGACCATGTACCACACCTTGTCTCACCTGGGGCGGTCCCCTTGGCTTATGGAAAATCACCGACAGTGGATGGGTAGATCGTCTGAAAACAAACCTCCTCCTGGATGGACCCACCTGGGCTAACAGGTGCAGTTCCTCTGCTTGCATTCGGTATGAACGTCCTGACCCACAGCCTCACCGACCATCGCAGCAGAACCCCGGGCCATCTTCACTGGCCACTCTATGGGCTAGAAGGGTTCGGTGCAGTCTCAAGATTGTCAAGTGTAAATCCCATCGGTCAACTTTCAGCAAGTATTTATGAAGCCCAGCCTGTAGGCCCTTGTTACATAAAGTGTGGTCTACAACTCAGCACAGTGGGAATCACCTGCAAGCTTGTTATAAATGCATAATCTTAGGCCCTGCCCCAGAACTTCCGAATCTGAGTGTGCACTTTAACAAATTCCTCAAGTAATATCTACAGATATTAAAGTAGAGAATGTAAGTAACACAGGAAAGGGAGAAGATTTGCTTCTTCCCTCTAGAAACTCACACTCTAGTTAGGAAGATACGATTCGTAGGTATGAAACAACGGAGCAGAGTGCAAGCCTACATCATCAAGCACATTTTGGAAGGAAACTTAGATACAGAACACCAAGACCAATCCTGCCTCAGCCACTTACTTTCACTGAACCTCAGCTTCCTCATCTGTAGAATGGGAATACTTGTCCTATCTACCTTATAATTGTTCTAGGTGGGAAAGCACTACACCAATATATGGTACTATTTAATGTTACATACTCTGGGTGCTACAGAAGTTCAGAGGCAAGAGGCTAGGGATGACTGGAATTATAAAGGAGGATCCAGTAGGGTGTGGGTGGGGAGCAGAGGGGTGCCTGGAGGTGGCCTTTAAAAGATATTGAACCATATACTGAACCGGACACTACAGTAATGCGAGATGGAAAAATGCACGTTTTGACAGTGGCGCATCTAATTTAGCCTCTAGCCTGGGCTATATAGAGAAAGCTCTTACTGATCAACTTTTTATCTGCTTTCATCCTCACAATCTGCTGATGGTCAACACCATGGGTCTCAGAAACACACACTCAGTGCCACCTAGTGTTTATGAAAGGCACAAAGCAAGGGTATGTGGTCTGTGGGGAAGCTGGCAAGAAAGAGCCCTATTGCTACAAACCTTAACTCTGGTTTGGGATATATGGAAATAGATGTGTCTGTCATTTTGCAGAGCTGACCTGTGAAGATGCCTGGGGGAGTGGGAGGTAAAGATTAAGTCAGTAGGTGAGTTTTTGGGTAATCGTCTTCCTAGATAATGCTTATTAATTAAGCCTTTGCTGTGTACTACATGTTCCCCCCCCTCACTCCCCCAC